TCTTACCTCTAATTCTTTCAATTATAACCCTACTGTACACTTTTCCTGGTATACTCAGTAAACTTATTCCTCTATAATTTTTACAATTTCTTTTGTCCCCCTTCCCTTTATATAAAGAGACTATTTATGCTCTCTGCCAATCCCTAGGTACCTTCCCCTCTTTCATTTTTTTTTTTTTTCAACAAGTCGGCTGTCTCCCACCGAGGCAGGGTGACCCAAAAAAGAAAGAAAATCCCCAAAAAGAAAATAATTTCATCATCATTCAACACTTTCACCACACTCACACATTATCACTGTTTTTGCAGAGGTGCTCAGAATACAACAGTTTAGAAGCATACACATATAAAGATACACAACATATCCCTCCAAACTGCCAATATCCCAAACCCCTCCTTTAAAGTGCAGGCACTGTACTTCCCATTTCCAGGACTCAAGTCCGACTATATGAAAATAACCGGTTTCCCTAAATCCCTTCACTAAATATTACCCTGCTCACACTCCAACAGATCGTCAGGTCCCAAGTACCATTCGTCTCCATTCACTCCTATCTAACACACTCACGCACGCTTGCTGGAAGTCCAAGCCCCTTGCCCACAAAACCTCCTTTACCCCCTCTCTCCAACCCTTTCGAGGACGACCCCTACCCCGCCTTCCTTCCCCTATAGATTTATATGCTTTCCATGTCATTCTACTTTGATCCATTCTCTCTAAATGACCAAACCACCTCAACAACCCCTCTTCTGCCCTCTGACTAATACTTTTATTAACTCCACACCTTTTCCTAATTTCCACACTCTGAATTTTCTGCATAATATTTACACCAGACATTGCCCTTAAACAGGACATCTCCACTGCCTCCAACCGTCTCCTCGCTGCTGCATTTACCACCCAAGCTTCACACCCATATAAGAGTGTTGGTACTACTAAACTCTCATATATTCCCTTCTTTGCCTCCATAGATAAAGTTTTTTTACTCCACATATACCTCAATGCACCACTCACCTTTTTTCCCTCATCAATTCTATGATTAACCTCATCCTTCATAAATCCATCCACCGACACGTCAACTCCCAAGTATCTGAAAACATTCACTTCTTCCATACTCCTCCTCCCCAATTTGATATCCAATTTTTCTTTATCTAAATCATTTGATACCCTCATCACCTTACTCTTTTCTATGTTCACTTTCAACTTTCTACCTTTACACACATTCCCAAACTCATCCACTAACCTTTGCAATTTTTCTTTAGAATCTCCCATAAGCACAGTATCATCAGCAAAAAGTAACTGTGTCAATTCCCATTTTGAATTTGATTCCCCAAAATTTAATCCCACCCCTCTCCCAAACACCCTAGCATTTACTTCCTTTACAACCCCATCTATAATATATTAAACAACCATGGTGACATTACACATCCCTGTCTAAGACCTACTTTTACTGGGAAGTAGTCTCCCTCTCTTCTACACACCCTAACTTGAGCCTCACTATCCTCATAAAAACTCTTTACAGCATTTAATAACTTACCACCTATTCCATATACTTGCAACATCTGCCACATTGCTCCTCTATCCACTCTATCATATGCCTTTTCTAAATCCATAAATGCAATAAAAACTTCCCTACCTTTATCTAAATACTGTTCACATATATGCTTCAATGTAAACACTTGATCTACACATCCCCTAGCCACTCTGAAACCTCCTTGCTCATCCGCAATCCTACATTCTGTCTTACCTCTAATTCTTTCAATTATAACCCTACCGTACACTTTTCCTGGTATACTCAGTAAACTTATTCCTCTATAATTTTGACAGTCTCTTTTGTCCCCTTTCCCTTTATATAAAGAGACTATACATGCTCTCCACCAATCCCTAGATACCTTCCCCTCTTTCATACATTAAACAAAAATACCAACCACTCCAACACTATATCCCCCCCCCTGCTTTTAACATTTCTGTCATGATCCCGTCAGTTCCAGCTGCTTTACCCCCTTTCATTCTACGTAATGCCTCATGCACCTCCCCCACACTCACATCCTGTTCTTCTTCACTCCTAAAAGATGGTATACCTCCCTGGCCAGTGCATGAAATTACCACTTCCCTTTCTTCCTTAACATTTAAAAGCTCCTCAAAATATTCTCGCCATCTACCCAAAACCTCCATCTCCCCATCTACTAACTCCCATACTCTGTTTTCAACTGACAAATCCATTCATTCTCTAGGCTTTCTTAACTTGTTTAACTCACTCCAAAATTTTTTCTTATTTTCATTAAAATTTCTTGACATTGCCTCTCCCACTCTATCATCTGCTCTCCTTTTGCCCTCTCTCACCACTCTCTTCACCTTTCTTTTACTCTCCATATACTCTGCTCTTCTTATAACACTTCTGCTTTGTAAAAACCTCTCATAAGCTAACTTTTTCTCTTTTATCACACCCTTTACTTCATCATTCCACCAATCACTCCTCATTCCTCCTGCACCCACCCTCCTATAACCACAAACTTCTGCCCCACATTCTAATACTGCATTTTTAAAACTATTCCAACCCTCTTCAACCCCCCCACTACTCATACTTGCACCAGCCCACCATTCTGCCAATAGTTGCTTATATCTCACCCGAACTTCCTCCTCCCTTAGTTTATACACTTTCACCTTCCTCTTGCTTGTTGTTGCCATTTTCCTCTTTTCCCATCTACCTCTTACTCTGACTGTAGCTACATCTAAATACAGTGGACCCTCGCCTAACAAACGCATCGCATAACGTTAAATTCGCCTAACGATACATTTTAACGCTAACATTTTGCCTTGGCTAACGCTAAAAAACTCGCCTAACGATATTCGTTCTCGGGTACCAATTAATATCGTTAGGTGAGGGTCCACTGTAATGATCTGATATATCAGATTGCCCCTCTATAAATGTGTACATCCTGGAGCCTACCCATCAACCTTTTATCCACCAATACATAATCTAACAAACTACTTTCATTACGTGCTATATCATACCTTGTATGTTTATTTATCCTCTTCTTCATAAAATATGTATTACTTATTACCAAACCTCTTTCCACACATAGCTCAATTAAAGGCTCCCCATTTTCATTTACTCCTGGCACCCCAAATTTACCTACTACTCCCTCCACAACATTTTTGCCCACTTTAGCATTGAAATCCCCAACCGCCATTACTCTTACCCTTGGTTCAAAACTCCCCACGCATTCACTCAACATTTCCCAAAATCTCTCTCTCTCCTCTACACTTCTCTTTTCTCCAGGTGCATACACGCTTACTATAACCCACTTTTCACATCCAATCTTTATTTTACTCCACATAATCCTTGAATTAATACATTTGTAGTCCCTCTTTTCCTGCCATAACTTATCCTTCAACATTATTGCTACTCCTTCTTTAGCTCTAACTCTATTTGAAACCCCTGACCTAATCCCATTTATTCCTCTCCACTGAAACTCTCCCACCCCCTTCAGCTTTGTTTCACTTAAAACCAGGACATCCAGCTTCTTCTCATTCATAATATCCACAATCATCTCTTTCTTATCATTTGCACAACATCCATGCACATTCAGACTTCCCGCTTTGACAATTTTCTTCTCATTCTTTTTAGTAATTATTACAGGAAAAGGGGTTACTAGCCCATTGTTCCTGGCATTTTAGTTGACTTTTACAACACGCATAACTTACGGAGGAAAGATTCTTATTCCACTTCCCCATGGATATAAAAGGAAAAGTAATAAGACCAAGAACTATTAAGATAAAATCAAAGAAAACTCAGATGAGTGTGTATAAATAAACATGTACATGTATGTGTAGTGTGACCTTTAATGGTTTACAAAAAAAAAATTTACCATAAGCACAGCTCTTTGTTACCATGGTTATTGGATTTGTGTGTGATGTCACCATGGTTGTTCAGTATATTTCCAGATGAGTTTATAGATGGAATGGTGTGGGATTAAAAGCTAATGAACCTTACACAGAGTGAGAGCTTTCAGATGCTCTTTGCTGCTACCAGTTCTTTGGAAGATTCTGTAGAGAAGCTGCAAAAATTGATGGAAGAGTTTGGGAGGAAAAAGGGAGTATCAAACAAGGGGATTAAAAGAGAATACAAAAAAGAGTAATAAGGTTTAGGCATGAGTGGGGAATGAAGTCAAAATAATAAGATATTGATACTATGAAAAGTATCAAGTGGGAAACAGAAATGACATATTCCATCTGAGGCTGCAATGGTCCCACAACAGAAAGAAGGTTACACAGGACAATTAACAGGAAGAAGGCTCGATAGTACCATCAATAGCAAGAACAGAAGGCCACAATCATAAGATGAGAAAGCAGCTACCCCAAAAAACTGCTTGAAATTTTTCTTTGTAAACAGTACTAGAGTAGGATAGTGAAATGGGAACCAGAAGGTAATATGCTTCATCCATTAGAAACTTTAAATAATTATATGGAAGCAATCACTGAAGACTGAAAAACCACAAACAAAACTCTGCTCCACTAACTACAAAAAAGATACAATAATTACAAATACTGCATGAATACAGTGGAAGCTAATGCCACACAGAATTTTAAATATAAAAAAGATTAAACTAATTCTCATTAGTAAAACATTGTAGGACAGGACCAAATGGTAATGCATACTGCCAGCAAACTAAAGTATTATTGTTGTCATGCAAATTTTCAGATCACCTAGCCTCTCACTATAATGCTAAATATCAGAAGAGCAATTCAGTTTACAGTAACCTACACAAACAAAGCAAGATCCTAGTTCGTTGTAATTTGGTTCATAGTACCACAACTAATTTTAAGACTTAAACGTGAGTTAATAATTTTTTGGGTTAAGAGGATGCAGTCACAAATTTAGAACTTAAAGCTTTAATAAAAATACTAAAAGTCAAGATAAATCTTTAGCATCAGTTAGTCTCCTTGGTCTTCATTTACTAATGTACTAAAAATATATGAAGAAAATGTTATGCATTATCTATACTCACTGTACTAGTCTGTGGAGCTAAGGTATGCTTGCCCAAAACAACTGTGGTGGTTTTACTTTCTGCTGGGTTTTTTCGTTCATGTGGTGAAGAAGGGATTACAGCAGAATTCTGGGATGCAGGGCGGGACGTAAGCTGTTCTGCTACTCTAACAACATCCATTACCTGGAAGTTACAATAAATCTACATGTATTTTTGAAAATTCATTAATATTTACGAATGAATGGCAGTAAGATACATTATGTTGAATATAAGTCACAAGATTATTTATTATAAATGCAATTAAAGCTGGAAATTTAAGAAAAGCTTAATTTTCTACTAGAAAATTTCATTTTAAATTAAATTAGAAAAGTAAACAAATAACAGACAGACAAGATGCTCTGAGATTCATGCACATTTTAGTAAATGATTACTATGGATAGTATTTTGTCTTGGATCTACAAAGAATTTTCATTCTACAGAGAATACAAATGCAAAACACATTAAAATGACTGGATGAAGTAGGTATTATCTACTATTACAGAAAAAAATTACATGCCTGGAACATGTCAGTAAGTTCTGAGCTACCATGGAAAAAAAATTAAGAAAAACAAATGCGTACAATTTCTGGTGCAGATTTATCCTTGGGTGTATCAGACAGGGCAGGCGCAGAGAGGTGTGGGGGAAGAGGAATGTCACGACTCACATCATCATCAGTGTCTGGGGTGCTACTTCTTAGGTTCAAACTTATGTCCCAATTGGGTTCAGGTGTGAGAAGCCGATCACTTTTGTGTGGTCTGGATACTGGTTGAGGTTGTGAAGGTTGGGATGGTGGAGGCTGGGAGGGTGATGCTTGGGAAGACTGTTGTGATGATGACTCAGTACAACTTGATTGCTCTATTGAGGTTTCAACTGGTGCTTCTTCAGGTAGTGGGAACACATCTTCATGCTGCATTGAGGAACTTAGCTTCAACACCTGACAACACTAAACAATATTTTCATGTGTAGGGGAGAGGAGGGGAGGGAGGAGGAGGGGGGAAAAAGAGAAAGGAAGAGAGACAGACAGCAAGAAAGAGAAAGTGAGAAAGATAAAGAAAGAGAAAGCGAGAGAGATACACAACCAAGCAGGTCATTCAGATGGGCAAACAGGAGCTGCTAATTTCCATGAGAAGTTTCAATTTTTTCCCTCTAGTATTACATCTTATGAGCCAAAACCATGCACAACTGCTCTATGGGCTTCTACATAATCAGTTCATGATTCAGAAGTATTCAGTCTATGCCATCAATGTTCCACACTCCTATGATACCTACGTAGTTGGGGAATGATGGAATCTTAGCAAGGGACAAAGTCACTCATGAAGATCCTCTCAGTGATCAAATGACAGAACTTATGGTACTAGTCATGGCCAAAAAACCTCATCATGAATTGTTGGAAGATGGAACCAAATCTAATATATGGCAACCAATGTGGGTGAGTGAAAACACATTATTTTCAAAATTATTCAAATCTATTAGTTTCATGAACTTGCATGAACAGTTTCTGCTGTAGAAATCAATGCAGTAAAGTCATAACTCACAAGATGATAACACTTCTTTGCAGGAGATTCATTAAGAAAACTTAATTCCTTCGGCGCCAGTACAACATAACCTACAACTTACGGTCTACTGATGACTGCTGCCTCAAATGACAACAGGCTGACTAATTGGTATACGATGAACACTTGACAGAAATGAAGAATAAATGACTGCAACCCTACCATCTTGATCAAACAATTAAAAATTGTGTAAATGACATTTAAAGAATTTTCTATAATTTATGAACTTTCAGTAAACAGTAAAAAAAAAAAAAAAAGATATTCACTGCCATGCTAATGTAATGACAATTTCATTTGAGTTCCTAATACTTTCATCCCTCTCCTTTTCTCAAGTGAGGTGGGTTAACTCCACTGCAGATATTTTCCTATCCTCTCTTCATTATTTTTAAACATTAGCTGCTTCTTACCAACACAGTCACTCATAAGAGAAAAACACATTCATTATAATTTTCTCCAGTTGCCTTTCAAGAAGGGCATGAACATCACTATTCATCGATAACTCACCGAACAGAACATGTTCACATAACATTTTTAAGTCATGGGACTGTCCTAACCATCTTCAAAATTAAAGTTTAAGATAATTTTCCTGAATATCTTCCTCTATATTTCATCATTAAATACTTTCACGAAATGTTAATACCAGGATGTTGATTCATGGGTCAAGAAATCCAACAAACACAAAATCTGGGATAAAATTTTGAGTACTACCATTTGAATCTACAAAACAAGCAAGTGCAGAAAATAAAGACTTAGTGTACTTGAAGGGCTTCTACATGCTGTACCAAAAAATTAATGATGATATCTGATAAAATGCATCTGATACAAACTCATTAATAGGAGAGAGAAATGGTATTTGAACAATACATACTTCAGATCTATAGTAATAAAAATCTATTCTATTTTTTCTACAAAAAGGAAGTGTATACACTGGCATTTATCTAGGATATTGAAGTACAGTACAAACAGTATTGTCTACAATGTAATTTTAATTTCTAATTACTTGAGTAGGGTGACTGCCACGATCCTCCTTGTCAAGAGAAGTAACACTTTGACTGGTACTACGAGACTCATGGCCCAATCGTCCCTCATTCTTCATCTGCTGTACCTGGTAATACATTTATAGATAAGCTTACTGAATCAAAACTAAGGTTTCAACAAATTGCTAAAGCCTTGTTTTTTACACAATTTACCAGAAAATGTACAAGGAATAAACTGAACAGAAAGATACTTTGTTTCAGAGAAATTATTTTCTGCACTTCACAAAATAAGCATAAGGAGAGACTAACAGCACTGGACCCAACAACACTGGAGGAGAGAAGAACTAGGGAAGAAGGGAGAAATGATGACACAAAATACTCAAGAGGAATTAAAAAAACAGACAGGGAGAGGCTGTTTGAGAGGCAAGAATTGGGAAGTCATGGATATTATCAGAAGTTAAAGGCACAGATGAGCCACAAGGATGTTAGAGTGTATTTCTTCAGTTTCAGAGTGGTCAGGAAGCGGAATGATCTTGGTGAGGAAGTGATGGAGGAAGACTCCATACATAGCTTCTACCCTTCGAGGGTCTAGACCCTCGATCTGAAACATGTCCTCAGGGTCCAAGAATTTAAAAAAAAAAAAAAAATTTCTTATGAAATGATAATCTTTTTCCGAAGATAATAACACCAACAGTACAAACTTTGATGGAAAATTTGTGGAATTACGCTTTTGCAAAGTTAATAGTCTCAGTGATATTCATGAATCGGTGATTCTGCCCACTTCGAGTCCTATTGTAGGACATTTCCATTCTCCCAGTCAACCAGAATCTTAGCTATTTTGCTAATATGCCTTCCATTCTATCAACTGAACACAAGAAACCTCCCATTTAACTATTTCAATTACCCAATAAAGTTATCAGAATTTCCTAAGTTCATTAGTTACATTCCCAGCCTCTCCTGCATTACATTTGCTTTCCAGTTTGAATTTTTATTAAAACTAAAAATAGTAGATTTACTGTTATGCAGACTACTGCATTATTATAATAATTGTATAAATAATGTTAGCGGATTCATGAATGTGTATTGGACTGACCTGTTGGATGTGTATTGGACGAGTGACGTGATTTGTGTCCTCTGGAATATCGACAAAAATCGAATATTTCCACTAACTTGAGCTTAATTTCAAGTTACTTGCATTCCTAAAACCAATCAAAATCATCTCTATTTCAGTAATGTACCTTCCATTCTATCAAATGATACCAAGAAACCGGGTACAAAACCATAAAATCCATCTGAAAATACACTACAAATTTGCTATTTTAAACCAATACAGGAGGGCCCCATTCATACAGCAGGTTAGATTCTGGGCCACTGCTCTAGAGTGAAAATTGCTGTAAAGTGAAAGACAGCCTTTTTTCACTTTCAAATGCATAAAAAGTCTGATAACATGTTTACTCTCATATATTAAGTGAGAAATAGAACTAGGCCTAAAAAATGCATATACAGTACATACATTTTTTTTTTAACACGTTGGCCGTTTCCCACCGAGGCAGGGAGACCCAAAAGAAAGAAAAACCCAAAAAGAAGGAAAAAACTTTCATTATCATTCAACACTTTCACCATTACTCACACATAATCACTGTCTTTGCAGAGGCGCCCAGATACAACAGTTTAGACAGTCACTCCAAACTGCCAATATCCCAAACCCCTTCATGAAAGTGCAGGCACTGTACTTCCCATTTCCAGAACTCAAGTCTGGCTAACCTGTTTCCCTGAATCCCTTCACAAAATATTACCCTGCTCATACTCCAACAGCTCATCAGGTCTCAAAAAACATTTGTCTCCATTCACTCCTATCTAATACGCTCACGCATACTTGCTGGAAATCCAAGCCCCTTGCCCACAAAACCTCCTTTACCCCCTCTCTCCAACCTTTTTGAGGACCTCTACCTCACCTTCCTTTCCCTACAGATTTATACACTCTCCAAGTCATTCTACTTTGTTCCATTCTCTCTAAATGACCAAACTACCACAACAACCCTTCTTCAGCCCTCTGACTAATACTTTTAGTTAACTCCACATCTCCTAATTTCCAAATTATTAATTCTCTGCATAATATTTACGCCACACATTGCCCTTGGATATGACATCTCCAGTGCCTCCAGCCGTCTCCTCATTGCAACATTCACAACCCACACTTCACACCTATGTAAGAGTGTTGGTACCACCATATCTCATACAGTCTCTTCTTTGCCTCTATAACAAATGTTCTTTTTCTCCACAGACACCTCAATGCACCACCCACCTTTCTCCCTTCATCAATTCTATGGTTTACCTTGTCCTTCATATACCCATCTGCTGACACATTCCCTCCCAAATATCTAAACATATTCATCCCTACAAATATATTCCTAGAGGTCCCCCAAAAGTATAAACTGCAAATAAACCAAAATGAACTCTGAAGAACAAATTTTATTCCAAATTTGGGTTCTTTTTACATTTCAGACAGTCTCTCTAATAGTATATCACTCTAATCAGGTAAATATTAATATTCTTAAGAAATAATAACCATAACAATGAGAGATTTAGGCATGGGAAAGCCACTGAGGCAGAAAAACAATTTTAAAAATTAAATCTATTCACTTGTTACCCATCAGTAAAAATATTGGATTATCAAAATTGGTGTATATATATGGAAGCCACCAATTTTATGAGGACGATTGTAGAGGTATACCACGTAGTCTATGATAAACGATTCAATGAGAGCAGTTTGCTAGACTATTTATTGGTGAATGAAAGGTTGGAGGATAGTCCTCAGGTCATATATGTTCTTAAAAAATAATGGATATATCAAATTATTTTTAATTAGTAGCTAGAGAAAAAAGTTGGAATATAAAGAGTATGGTGTCAGTGTGTGAAAGAGAATGAATTAAAGACAGTTAGTGATAGGTATGAGCAACTGCTGGGAGCAAGGTAGGTTAGGTTGGGAGACAGTGATTAGGTCACATAAGTATGGTGTGAATTCAAGAACGTAGCACTTGCAGCAGTTTTTTTTTTTTTTTTTTATAGAAGGGTAGATGTTGAAAAGAAGATGAACAACTGGTAAAGTGATGAGATTAAAGTGCAAAAAAGTTAACCTATAAATTTTTTTTTTCAACACGTCGGTCGCCTCCTACCGAGGCAAGGTGACCCAAAAAAAAAAAAAAGAAAATCCCCAAAAAGAAAATACTTTCATCATCATTCAACACTTTCACCTCACTCATACATAATCACTGTCTTTACAGAGGTGATCAGATACAACAGTTTAAAAGTCATCCTCCAAACTGCCAATATCCCAAACAAAGTCTTTTGTATAAAAAAGTGATATAAAGTGGAAAATTTGGAGGAAAATAAGAAAAATCAGTGATGGAAATGGAAGTAAAAAAAAAAAAGTAAATTTCAGAATGAGCTCTACCTGCTGCAAACGATGAAGCCAGAGGACATGGCACAATGATATTGGAACTAGTTCATCATTAATATGTTTAGACTATCATATACTTTCACCTACTGTTTGCCACTAAGATTACTCAATAAAAAAACATTTACCATCCCTCATTTCTTCATGTCTTTCTAGAACTGCATGTGCATATAACTCAAATGATCCAATGAACATAAATTTTTTGCCTATCCTTCAAAATACAGTGGACCCCCGCATAACGATCAGCTCCCAACTCGACCAATTATGTAAGTGTATTTTTGTAAGTGCTTTTGTAGGTGTATTTTTGGGGGTCTGAAACGGACTAATCTAATTCACAATATCTCTTATGGGAACAAGTTCGGTCTATAACGGCACCCAAACAGACTTCTGGATTGAAATAATATCGTTATCCGGGGGTCCACTGTATAGGCACTTTATTTACCATCTCCAAAATATAGGTCCAGATAAGTGATTTCCCTAAATCCCTTCAAAGATATTACCTCATTTACACTACAACAACTCATCAAATTCTGAGAATCACTCATCTCCAATTCAGTCTAACATACACACATGCTAGCTTGATACTCAAACCTCTACCTCTCAACACTCTTCAAAGCCTCCTTCCAATTCTTCCTGAGATGTCCACCATACCACCTTCCTTCCACTCACTCCAGATTCATTGGCATACATTCTCTTAATTAGCTTATTAAATTCATTTTAAACACTGCAATAAAATGGCAAATGAAAGAATGAAACAATGAGGTGAAATCTATAAATATCATCACAGAAGGGATCTTAGGAAAGTAAGAAATTAACAGAATACAGTGGCTATTGTATCACCCCTACTTACTAGATGGTAGTCATAGCCATCACATACTACTAGTCTGATGGTGGAGCCTGCAGTACGCATAACATTTACAGCTTCTTCATGAGTAATCCCCAACAAAGAGTGTTCATTTACTTCCAACACTCTCTGACCAACCTTAGCAAGAAAATAAAAATTAATAAATATTGTGTGTCCAAGGTATTTTAAAACAGGAAGTTATAAACACTGCATGAATTAAGAAAATATCCTTCATATATTAATAAACATAAAAAATATTAAAAAAATGTTTATATGATAAACAGTTTTATTTTTGGGTTTGCCTAAGAAAGAAATAATTTTACTGTTGTTTTTTCTATCTGAGCAAAATGCAGAAAAATAGTCAGATTCCAAAGGCTTGCAGTTTAAGAATATGTAATCTATCCAGTATTCTCTTTATCATGTAATTTGCCAACAATAACTCTCTTAGGTCTGTAAGGCAAGATTATCTATTCTTTAACTCATGTTGGAGCACTGTGGGGAAGTCTGCATTCTTCAGGTGATCTCTTATTTAGCAACTGAGAGTCATTCATTATAATTTAAATCAAGTTCATTGACTGTAGCTTTGAGGGAGGTGAGGTGAGACCAGATTAACTGTGAAAACCTCTGGGGCTGTAGGAAAGGACAGTAGGATTACAGATGGTGGCCACTGAAGATGACAGGACACAACAGTGTTTTATGTGAAACTTTCCTATTAGAAACCCTGTAGCTCAGCAGTAAAGCACTGGACCTGTTAACCTTGGGACCATGGTTCAAGCTCTCTGTCCACCTTACTATTTATACATATCTTTTAATGCTTAAAACTAAAATTCCTTATAAATTTTACAAAATTTTCCTAAAAATTTCTCTTTACTTACCTTTAATCTACCATCTCTGTGAACTGCCCCACTGGAGTTTACTTTAGATATAAATACTCCCTCATCAGACTTGTCTAAAGGGTTGCCTGGAGAGCCTTGAACACCTCCCTTGATGTTCATTCCCAGTCTTTCGCCCACTAATTTTTTGATGATTACCTCCTGTTGACAAATATTACTTGTGAAAATCATGTAGATGCAAAAATAATTCCAGGAGAGTAATATCATAGGTACACAGGGGAAATACAATAACACTAGTGCACTAACCACAAATCATTACATTAAGCTGAATTCTATTTTTACTTGAAATGTTTCATAAATCAGACAACTGTAACAGAGAACCTTAACAAACATATGAGCATAAGACTGTATTTTACAAAGAAATAGTGACATTTCTTCAGAAACTTAAAATACAACTTATAACATCACTCAAGGAAAAATGAGAAAAAAGGACAATTAAAGAAGTTTAAATTAACTATTAAAGAAATGTCTGATGTAGTAAATATGGCAGAATAAACATAAAAGTATACAGAAAAGTAGCATAATGAAGAGCACAAAAATCTTTACATTTAAAACTCAAGATAGGAGGGGTTAAAAGGAATAATTTAAACTGGTTTAAGTGCAGGAAAGTGATACTGTGTGGCAGGACTACTAGTAACATTTACAGAACTCAAGTACAAAGGGCTAAAATACATTAATTAGGTATGCAACCTGCATCCTGGACAAGGAAAAATGGAGAAGCATATGAAAGGCATACTATACAGGATATACGTAGAACTGACATAGAGAATACATGTATAGCAGGTTACATGGATAGGTTTGCAAAGGTCTACCTGGAGCCACTTTCTTCATAGCCACCCCACAAATGGAGCTTTCAGAGCATATAAAATGCTGGATGCAGAGAAAAACATGATTATTATTTAGTACCATATCCTGTACCATAATCTATCAAGCATAAATTATAAAGAAGACTCTGTCACATTTATTTTCTAGAGCACCATTTTTGGTGACTATTATATTTTCTGAAAATCATGTTGGCTTCCATAACAGCTCAAGACATGTAAGAACCACCAACTACTGCACTGCTGGATATGAGCTGCAAATTAACAATTACTGTATATGAATATGAACTTTCTCCATGGGAAAGTGGAACAGAATTCTTCCTCTGTAAGCCATGCATGTCATAAGAGGCGACTAAAATGCCAGGAGCACTGGTATAGTAACCCCTTCTCCTGTATACATTACTAATGTTAAAAAAAAAAAAAGAGAAGCTTTTGTTTTTCTTTTTGGGCCAGTCTGCTTCAGTGGGATATGGCCAGTTTGTTGAAAGAAGAAAGAATATGAACTTATGGGTGGTGAATATTGCAACAATGAGAGAAGACTGGAGGTAGTGGAGATGTCATGTATGTGAGCAATGTGTGGTGTGAATATAATGCAGAGAATTCCTAGTTTGGAAATTAGGAGGTGCAGGATTACCAAAACTATTATCCAGAGAGCTGAGGAGGGGTTGTTGAGGTGGTTTGGATATGCAGAGAGGATGAAACAAAGCAGAATGTCTTCAAGAGTGTATAAATCTGTAGTGGAGGGAAGGCAGGGTAGGGGTCAGCCTAGGAAAGGTTGGAGGGAGGGAGTAAAGGAGGTTTTGTGTGCGAGGGGCTTGGATTTCCAGCAAGCATGTGTGAGCATGTTAGATATGAGCAAATGGAGACAAATGGCTTTTAGGACTTGACATGCTGTTGGAGTGTGAGCAAGGTAACATTTATAAAGGGATTCAGGGAAACCAGCAGGTCGGACTAGAGTTCTGGAGATGGGAAGTACATTAACACACTCTGAAGGAGGGGTGTTAATGTTGTAGTTTTATTACTGTAATGTAAGCTCACTTCTGGCAAGACAGTGATGGAGTGAATGATAATGAAAGTTTTTCTTTTTTGGGTTACCCTGCATTAGTGGGAGATGGCCAATGTGTTAATAAAAAATAAAAATAATAAATACAGCAATTTTTTTATTTAAAGGGCAGTATGTTTAATCAGGGAATGATTAATATCTCTCAGTCAATACCATATGCTATGCTAGGAGACTTGTTTCTTTTATACAAAATCAACTTTCAACAAACCAGCCATATTCCACCAAGGCAGAGTGGTCCAAAAGGAAAAGCAAGAGTTTCTCCTTTTAAATTTAGTAATACAGCCTCTCCTAACTTAACGACGGAGTTACGTTCCTAAGATCACATCGGTAAACTAACTCATCGCTAATTGAGGAGCATATTATAATGGTAGTGGGTTTGTGTCAACCATCTTTGATACTGTTTTAATGTCACTTTTGTACCATTTATAACATTTCTGGTATGTTTTTAAATGTTTATACAAGAGTGTACAGTATATTGTATTATACAAGAGTGTACAGTATATTGTAATAAACAGAACAGAGAAAATCAGCTCTAATGTACATTATTTAGGTATGCATACTGATCAGAGAGCCGGTCGTAAGTCCAAGTCGTTGGTAAACGAGTACATCACAAAGTGAGGAGAGGCTGTATACACAGGAGAAGGGGTTACTAGCCCCTTGTTCCTAGCATTTCAGTGTGTGTAAAGGAGTTTTTATGAGGATAGTGAGACTCAGGTTACGGTGTGTAGGAGAGTGAGAGATTACTTCCCAGTAAAAGTACGTCTTAGACAGGGTGTGTAATGTCACCATGGTTGTTTAACATACAGTAGGGCCTCACTTATACGGCGGGTTAGGTTTCAGGCTGTCGCCGGAAAGCAGACATCACCGGAAGGCAGAACTCCATTTTTTTCCATTTATAAATGCATATAAATGCCAGACAACAAGTTTACACTAAATTATATTAAGTTAGTAATAGAACTAGGCATTAAAAACACACAAAGTAAAATACAGTCATAGTAAATTCATTACTTATCTTAAAGTATTTGTAATCTTAATGTAGGGAGAGAGGTGAGTATTACTTACTTGTAGGAAGTCAGGTGCAGGTAGCCCAGGTGTAGGTAGCACTGGCTCCCCATCTCATACTTAATATACGATATTTAAAACATCCCAGAGAGGTAAAATGCACATACTGTACACTCATTATTTACCTTAAAATATGTGTAGTCTTAATATAGGAAAAGAGGTGAGTAGTATTTATTTGTATAAAGTCAGTGTAGGTAGCCGGTAGGTGTAGCGCCTAGGCTACACCTACTGGCTACCTACACTGTGGCCCAGAGCCATATTAACATCGACATGCCTTGTTCACTGAATTTAATCATTTCTAACAACTACCTATAGATGCCATAGAAGTAATGAATAATTCATGCCGAAAATTGTAAACAAAAGCGGAGTGAGGGAGTGGCTGGGCCAAACGCAGATTCATACGTTTTCTCTAATGGCTGAACAGAGAAAACGTAATGTTGTCCCTCCACTCGGCTATCACACAGATCCACAAGTATTATTATCAGAGCACACATAAAATATGCAATAAATGCCAGACAACAAGTTTACACTAACTTAAGTTAGCAATATAAATAGGCATTAAAAACACAATAAAAGGTATGATACACACAGAGTACACTTATTACTTACCTTAAAATATTAATATTAATGTGTGAGAGGTGAGTGGCAGGGTGTTTATTGAATAAAATCAGAATGGCACACCATCATCCTCTAACTTGGCACTTAAAGCAAGAGGCTTACGACTTCTCTCTTTATTACAGTTAACCTTAGACGCCATCGTCAATGAGAGCCAACTAGTTAACGAAAGAGTAAATGAGAGAGAGAACGAGATACAGAGTTGAGACAATGTAAGAACACAAACTGAACAGGTAGTGGACGATCACTTGGTCAGGCGAAATAAATGCGTATTAATGTGTGTCTACTTTTAGTTCATTCACGTCCATTTGTAAGAGTTTGTAAAGCATTTACCTCAACATTTTTTTATTTTAATAATAATTACCTCACAATACAAATACTCTTACATTGTGTACAAGTTGTACAAGTTAGTTCAGAATAAACAAACAGCAACACACCATTTTTAGAGTGAATGAAGATAATAATAATAATAATAATAATAATAATAATAATAATAATAATAATAATAATAATTATTATTTTAATATTAATAATAATAATAATATTATTATTATTAATAATAATAATAATTATTATTATTATTTATTATAAAAAGCACTAAACCCACAAGGGTCCTGAATTGCTATACATAAAGTAAAGGCATACGAAAAGAATATTTTTCTACAGTTATCCCCCAGTTTGACTAGAGAAAACGTAATTCTTAAGACACTACCTACACAGCCGGTTTGTAAACAAATCTCATATTTACATCAATTTTCATTCTGAGTGTGTGTATCATGTTTATATGCTATGTAATGGGTTTCATATATAATTTTGGGGAAAAAATCGTAGATGGATTAATGAAAATGCCTATATTGATGTAAAATAAGACATTTAGTGTGCCCAAGAGTGATTATTATTACGTAGTATTGGCGTCATGAGTAGAGAGAGACTTAGCGATTTTAATGTGTACCTGCACACCAGCACAGTGTGTAAGTATATTTAGGTACAGGTGCACATAAGTATAATTATCAGAGTACATATAAAATATGCAGTAACTTTAAAACACTTGAAATTTTGGAAAGTTTCCTGACATAATAGATGTGGTCACGGAAAATGTAAACAAACCGGGTGGGGGGCACCGTATTTGAAAGACTGCTTGCTGTATAGCAAATTTTGGTCATAATTTGACATCGCCGTATTAGCGTAACGCCGTAAGGCAAACCGTCGTAAAGCGGGGCCTTACTGTATTTATAGACGAGGTTGTAAAAGAAGTAAATGCTAGGGTATTGGGGAGAGAGGTGGCATTAAATTTTGGGGAATCAAATACAAAAATGGGAGTTGACACAGTTACTTTTTGCTTATGATACTGTGCTTTTGGGGGATTCTAAAAAAAAGTTGCCAAGGTTTGTGGACGAGTTTGGGAGGGTGTGTAAAGGTTGAAAGTTCAAAGTGAATATAGATAAGAGTAAGGTAATGAGGGTATCAAACGATTTAAAGAAAAATTGGTTATCACATTGGAGGGAGTATGGAAGAAGTGAATGTTTTCAGATATTTGGTAGTTGACTTGTCAGTGGATGGGTTTATGAAGGATGAGACAA